AGGGATATATGACTGTTTAAACTAGTAAGGAAGATGATGCACTAAAATCACATGAGAAAAAAAGTTTTTGGGCAAAACACCCCAAAATCCATGTGGAATAATCTTATTCCACTGAATCATGTCCCCTGTTGCTGAACAGCCCTAAAGACCTCCTTGTTAGGTGGTTCTGTCTGCTTGGAGTGGAAACCTATGAGTAATCTATGTGTCACTGTGACTCATGTCATGACCACCACTTCCAACTTCCCATCATCTGCAAGCTGGCACGAAGAATTCAAACTGCTCAACTCATAACAGGAAGAAGTCAGGATGGAGGAAAAGTTTGGTTAACTGTTCTAGTTAAATCTTCATTAAAAAGAAGATTTAATTAGAAAAGTTAACCAAAGCTAAGAACAAAGACTTTTTAGTCACCACCTAAATCATTCTTTTCCTTGGCATCTGTTTCTATCATGCCTTCAATGTCAGTACAGGTGTTCTTCCTTCCACATTCTTACATCTTTGCTCAGATGTCCACTACTTTAAATTTTTTCCAACTTTTAAAATTACTTTCAAAAAAGGACTTTAATGATAGTATATCAAACCAAGAGAAAGAACAAACTGGGACAAACTAGTGTGTAATTCCACTATCCAACCATTCCCCAACCATCAATAGGACTTTCATTTGCCAGCCTTCTTCTCATTTCTTCTCTGTTCCTCTGTAACTCCAATTAAAATGACACAACATTTGATGGCATGGTTAACCTACTGGAAGTCAGCACCTTTAAAACAAAGTATCTTAGGAATACTCAGCGGTTCTCAACCTGTGGGTCGCGACCCCTTTGGGGGTCGAACGACCCTTTCACAGGGGTCGCCTAAGACCATCGGAAAACACATATATAATTACATATTGTTTTCGTGTTTAATCACTATGCTTTAATTATGTTCAATTTGTAACAATGAAATTGGGGGTCACCACAACATGAGGAACTGTATTAAAGGGTCACGGCATTAGGAAGGTTGAGAACCACTGATTTAGAGAGTAATTACTTAAGAGTAAAATTTGTTAGAAAGGGGTCAGCAGAAGGATAGGAAGTGCTGGTCAAATTTCTGATGGCTTTTTACCTCATTTACATTCCAATATTGTTTATAAGAATGAAAATGCTAAGTGTCTAATAAAGGTAGACTAGATTTATTGTGGCATACCTATGCAATACGAAGGAAAGCTGCCCCCTTGTAACTATTCAGATGTATTTCAAAGACCCTTACTGGGGTCCTTCACTTTGTTCTATGTGGTTATTTCCATACTAAGATTTTCTAGGGGTAGCGGTCAAACCACCATTTTAGCATTATTAAACATCTTTCTCTACTACAGATCAATTAGTTTGGGGTAAATCTTCTTGGCTAGAGGATTATTATGATTTTATTTCCTGGAGACTTCCAGTTTTAGCACCATTTCCAGCTCTTCTCAAAGCCAACAGGGCACTAGCTTTGGTGGCCACAGAGCCTGGGTGCTCACCAACTGATGTGATGTCAGTATGGTTTACGTCTTGACTTGAGAAAACCCATTTTTTATATCAAAGATTATTTCTAATTAGTCATAGGCCACAGATCAGATTTACATAATAGTGATTTTATGCCCTTTCCTATGTTTTCAGCAATCCAGGGTTTATAAACCAGTGGATTAGAAGTCAGACAGCCTGGGTTCTCACTCTGTCTGGCCCTAAAAAGTCATGTGATTTTTTTTTCCTTTCCCAGTCATGTGATTTTAAGAATATAACTTTGCCAGTCTGGATTTCTATTTCTATGGCTGTCAAATTGGGCATGGTATTAAACTGTTTTTAGTATCTCTTTCTGATTTTCAATTATAAATTCCTCTTCAAATACTTACCAATTAATAAATCTGTGCACTCTAAGAGGGATATAGTAAAAAATATAATAATCTATTTACTAATTATCTCTGATTTTGGAATATATGAATTTAACACATTGTTTGCGGGTAGTTTTTATCGTGCGCTAACAGGTGGCTCTACTACTTACAGTCAACGTAAAACGTATAAATACGTTTCCCGCATACAATGTGTTTAACAGTGGATTAACTAGCTATTATATAATTTCATGGATGCACATTTCTGCAGTCAAATCTGTAGTTTTCTTGATGTTTTAAATAACATTACTGATGATCTCTGTGGATATCAGGGTTATGTCAACATTGCATGGATGCTTATATTCTTTGAGATATTTTTAAAGAAAATGTTCAGATTTAGCAGGTTCAGATTTCAAACAATGGAGAAGAGAGCAAAGATGAAAAAATGTTTTATAGTGCCCTGGAATTTTAAAATAATCTAACGTTTAAGGATGGAGGACATATTTCTCCTGAAATGTCTGTGTGCATGTGTGTGTGTGGGTGGGTGCGGATGTGTGTCTCTGTGGGTGTACGCCTAACTCAGCTCAGAGAATCCTGGGTTGAACTGTAACAATGCTATAAACATGAGAACCAGAAGCAGACCCGACTGCCCACAGTGGAAAAGACCAACCTGTGGCATTGGGAAACATTTCACTTGTTTGGGCTTTCTGTGTAGCCCACTAAAAGTGCTAGGACATATCATCGTTACCTAGTCTCATGCCAACTCTCTCTGGTAACTCACTTTGACATATCAGTTTCTAGGCAGGAACTCCCAGTCAAAAACCCATGTGATACCAGTGCCAGTTGGCCTCAGCTGTAAACAACAAAAAAAAGAGAAGCATTTTAAAAAGATATTTCAGATGTGTAAAATTTAAATAAACTAAGGCAGAAAGTGTAATGTTCCAAGTGAAGCCAATTCCCAAGCGGTGTTGGTTGGTACAGACAAGTACTATATCAGTGGGTTCTTAAATTGCAGCATAATGCAGACATGGAGGAGGAAAAGTGGCAAAGAGGAAAAAAAAAAGAAGCAGGACATTAAAGATGAATCACTAAGAATGATCTTCATTTAAACTCTGAGAGTTCATACATCCCACTAGGACCCAAGTAATATGTGAGACTTTGGAACCATTGCAGTATATGTTTCAAAGTCCAGGGCGAAGCCACTAGGTAAGTTTTATGACTCCCTCTACAAAAGCAGCTTCTTGTCGGAGCTGGAAAAATAATGTTACCGAGGATCCAGTAACAACAGAATCTAGGCCTGTTTGTTAGATTCCAAGTTGCTGCCTCCTGCAAAAGGAGAGCATCCAGAAAAACAATTTATTTCCCAGAGCAAGAGAGAACGTCTAGTATTAAGGATTAGGAAAAGTTTGTTGTATATCTACTAGACACAGGCTGCAGATCTGCTGGGGCAAATCTGTCTGCCATTTGTTTCAACAAAGACATCACGAAGGTGAGTTTCTCCAAGATCATTCCTTCTGGGGGCTCAGGACAGGAGACAGGAAGATATATGCCACCAGCTTTCCAAAGTGTCTCTTGCTTCTTGAGGTTCCTTTAAGGATATAGCACAGTGGAGAAGGCAAGTTAGCATCCAGTCCTATACAATGACTGCAGTGACCAATGGCCAATAAATCAGTTCCATCTTGTGTACCCTACTTAACCTTTGGACATGATGAATATGTGGACTGTGTTTTTTGTGGTTTCAAGCCAAAAGTTAACCACAGCCTACAGATTTTTGAACCTCAGGGAAAGAACTAGAAACCTATGTTCTCTACTTTATTCTCAGGGCAGTTGAAGGGAACTGAATTCCATTAGCCAGAGACAATGTAATTGAGTTCATAACTTCTGAGGGTTGCGAGGTTGCATTTCTATGGTGCCTTTTTCCCAATGTCATAAAACACCTCACATATGCTATTTCATTTATATTCCAAATGTCTATGGCATAAGGAAAAAGCACTCACTGCAATTTTAACCCCAAAAAAGGTATTAATGATTTAATACAGATTAGCAAAACTAAGGACAGCAACATTTATCTAATTCAATGTACAGGGAATTCAGTGTTTAGTCACATTTTATTTTTAATTAAAATTTTATTTTACTTTTCCCAACTTCTCTAGATCACATTAATTATTCTAATTAATTAATAACTGCAATTGTCCCGGGTGCTTGATTTATGTAATTTAGCGCATTGTTATACACGGCCATATTGTTGTCTTTGTTTTCTATATATTTCAGTCTTAATAGCTATCCAGAGGGAGAGACTGCATGTATCGGGAATGACACTGGGTAGTAGACAGAGCCCTGAGACTGTCCCATCTCTGTCACTCACTGTCAGCAAACTCACATATCCTTCCTAAGCTCCAGTTTCTTTACTAACAAATGAATAAACAAACTCCTAAATGTCTTATAGCAGTGGTTCTCAACCTTCCTAATGCCACGATCCTTTAATACAGTTCCTCATGTTGTGGTGACCCCCAACCATAAAATTATTTTTGTTGCTACTTCATAACTGTAATTTTGCTACTGTTATGAATCTTAATGTAAATATCTGATATGCAGGATGTATTTTCATTGTTACAAATTGAACATAATTAAAGCATAGTGATTAATCACAAAAACAATATGTAATTATATATGTGTTTTCCTACAGTCTTAGGTGACCCCTGTGAAAGGGTCGTTCAACCCACAGGTTGGCAACCCACAGGTTGAGAACCGCTGTCTTATAGGATTGTTCTGAGGCACAAATAAGATGATTTTCTAAAAGCATTATGCATAGAAATAAGACATTATTAAATAATTATTATAGAATTTTATTATATAATTTAAATTATATGATTATACAGTGGCCCAGTGCACAGATTCATGCACATTGAAAGGAAGGTAATTAGAAGAAATATTTTAATATTGCTATTTGCCCTTTCTCTGTAATGGAAGTGTCAGCACTGCCCCCTCACCTCACCATTCCACCTACGGGGTGATCGATCGGGGCCGGGCCCCCCCACCTGGCTCCCTCAGCACCTGGGAGTTGGGTGGCAGGCCTGGCGCCCACGGCTCACCTGCTCCACCATCCTGCCGTGGCCCAACTCTCGTCAGGGCCCATTGGGGCCTGCAGTGCCTCCACTACCGCCCACTACCAGCACTGTGTCACCGAAGCCCGCCATGTTCCGTGCCACCCCCTGGTGGTCAGCGCATGTCATAGCGAGGAGTCAAACTCCTGGTTGAGACAATTTGCATATTAGGCTTTTATTATATAGGATAATTATCATATAATGCCATCACTCTGTAAAGGCAGAGGTAATATTTTGTACCTTTCTTGCATACTTTCCAGCTAACATGATGTTAGGTAGACATGATTTCCCAAGGAAGTACTTAATACATATTTCTTAATAAAACAGTTTCAGAGTATGTACTATTTGCCAGGAACCACTGTAGGCATTTATTTCATATTTCACTATCCTAAGAGGTCATGTTATTATCATGCCCATAATGCAGATGAAGAAACCAAGACTGAGAGAGGTTGAGCAGCCTTACCAAAGGCGCACAACTAAAATGCGTGACTCCTGATCAATTGGCTACAGAGGCCAAGTTCTGAAAAGCTTCACTCTACTTGCCTTTCATAGAACCAGAGATCCTGAGGAAATGCAGAGGTCATGAAATTTCCTTCCTAAAACTATTAAAAAATGAAAGAACTCTTAAGAAGTGGATAGGGATTTGTGAGAGTGTGCTTGGTATAATTTTAATGCAGAAATTGAAATAGATAAATAGACCAACTTCTTGATATGATTGGGTTGCAATCATGTGATTTTCACGAGGAGTGTTTAGTTTGGAGAAACGCTTCTTAGCATTTGATTTAGCAAAAAAAATTGAGACTTGAACTTATAGGCTGCAAGCTATTTCTATTCTACTGATCAACTAGTTAAAAAAAACCCTCCCAGAATGGTGGGAGCATAAATCTGCTTATGCATGAGGCCAATGGGAACGAGATAACTGTGTAGATCTAGGACCCATCTGATACACTCAGCATCATCAATCACTGAGCTGCTACAGCCTCAGCTTTCTGGAATCCCCAAGTTGTTTAGAATATTTTACTATTGCCATTTATGGAGAAGCCACATTATACTGTCTTTGTTTAAGTGCTATAAAAATAAATAAAATTTGAGTGTTATCCTTCAGAGAGTGCTCATGTGACAAAACAGTAGGAAACATGAGAAAACAAATCAAAAGTTGGTATCTTCTAACATGAACATGGGCAAGCACCTCAATGTAAAGAACTGGTTAGCTCCGTTCAGAAATTAAGTTGGGTAGTTCTCTTTTTAATCCTTTTGTGATGGAAATTACATTTGTTAGCAGAAACGTGAGTCTGTTTTACACACACACACAAACCAACTCCATGGGGGGAGTCTGACATATGTATAAATCTTGAACGAAACCAGCAAAGCATTTGGCCTGAGTAGAGATGGAAGAGTCAGATGCCCACAAATAAACTGACTTCATGCTCAAAGCTTATTATGAGCCTTTAAACCAGGGGTGGAGAATGTCCGGCCCTTGGGCCATGTAAGGCCCATGAAATCTTTTGATCTGGCACTGCCAAGGCATGAGGGGTGAGTTAATTAAGTGTTTGACTAAATATAGCAGGCTAATGTTTAACTTGATAATTTGGTATGACCTGTGAATGATGTTATAAATATTCAAATGGTCCTTGGCAGAAAAAAGGGTTCCCTACCCCTGCTTTAAACCATGGCATTCAAATTAAGTCCCAATGATGAATCAATTCAGATCTCCTGTCTTGTGTATCCTTTCTATTCCTATAACATATGTTTATTGAACACCTACTGGCTGGTGTATATAGAAGGTCAATGGCCTCCACCTTCCCAAGGAGCTCACCATTTAGTGAGAAAACCAGGTATATAAACAAGTCATTTCAGAAAAAAAAAAACGAGCTAAGTGAAATAATGGAGGGCACACACTCTAAAGGGTAGCACGAAGGAAGATCAATTGTATTTTAATACGTGAGAAAAAAGTTACAGAAAAGGAAGGCCTAATTGCACTGGATTTGGAAGGAAAAATATACATTTTGACCAGGGGAAAAAGACTGTTTGTAATGGATGGAGTAGAGAGATAGAAAGCAGAATTACTCGTTGCTCAGAGGGGATTTTCACCTCATTTATTCCTCACTGCAGCCCCACGAAGGAGCATGGGCTCATTTGAAAGGTAAATGTCTCAAGAACACAGGGCAGGCAAGTGACACGATCTTGACCCTCCTGTGTTGTCACAGTCCAGTATTTGGGAGCGTTGAGAAAAGAAAGACCAAGCCATGGGGAAGGCAGGGCCAGGTGGTGAGGGTCCTCCAACAACACGCACTTGGACTTCAACCTTTTCGTGCGGGGGAGTCAGGAAAGGCGTTTTTCAGCGGGAGAGTGGGCGAGTGGAGCAGTTTTGCCTTTCAGATAGCATCCCGGTAATTGCATGGAGGTTGGTTTTGGCTGGGCATGAGACAAACGATGCTCTATAGATTCAGAAGGTCAATGCTAATAATGTGGCCCTACCTGCTCCTTTCCATGGTCAGATGCTGGGGCTGCTCTGATTCTTAAACTTCCACCCTGATATTACTCTGTCCATCATCTCCCACTTTCTCCCCTGTCTGTTCCTCTTTTTAACTCTCCTGTTCATCAATCTATGAAGTCTGTGTGCATCCGAGTTACTAAAGATACAAAGTGCAAATTCAGAACATGAAAAAGTATGATTTTTTGAGTGTTTGGGGGAACCTCTGAAGGACTTTCCAAATGGGCCAAATATACACCTGAGAAGTCCAGGCAGCCCTCTGTTGGGAGCCTGCAGTAACTCAGCCCACCAAAGGCTCTCTCTGAACTTCCCAGGCTCCTAAGGAGCCTCACTTTAAACAACCTGATGCGTAAAAAAAAAAAAGGCAAGTTTCCAAAAACATAATACCAGATAGTAAGGAGCCTCACTTTAAACAACCTGATGCGTAAAAAAGGGCAAGTTTCCAAAAACATAATACCAGATAAGACCCAAAAAACTGAACTTAGGATATTTTTAAATTGCTAATTCCACTGGTACATTTAACATATAATTACATATACAAAACTCCCAGAAATGCGTTCATTTGTACTTGGAGGCAAAATGGTATGTCCCATCGTATTTCTGTGTCGCTCTGTTTCATTTTTAAAGGCAGTCATCCCAATCAAAATCCAAGCCAGCCTGCGCCCTTTGGAGCCCCCAGGAACCTTGTTTCTCTCCTGTTGGCCATTCTCCAGCCCCTTTCACTACAACTTTCCCTTCCCTCTTGAAGTGGGCAGGACCCTCCTGACCCCCTTCCCCAATCTTATTGCTCATCATAGAGTTTTCTTCGCAATGACGAGTGTCCCCTTCTAACTGTGTCCCTGGAGGAGCTGTGTGCAGACCGGAGCTCCAGGATGGAACAGAGAAAGAATTGAGACATTTAAAAACTCAAAGAATTATCCAGGAATCAAACAATCACCTCTCTGAAAGAATTTTATAAAAGAATAAAAATTAAAAGCACAGCTTTTTAAAAAACCTTATTAATGTTTGATGGTGAAACAGGAAAGCTTTTTCCACCAGAAAAGTTCTTTCTGTACTAAGTTTGGCAGCCAGACGGCCTGAGCATTTATCTCCTGCACAGAAAGTGCTCTGTCAGGCAGGCTGTGACTAACAATAAGCTGAAAAACACGCCACAGACTTCCACTGTATTTTATTTGGCACGGAGGAATTATTCCTCAGCACAAACTATTTGCAACTGGCATCGGTTAAACAAGAAATTACAACCTTTAAAAGGCCTATTTATCATTAGCTGCAAAAGTGCAGACTTCACCGTCAATTACTCTGACAAAGGATTATAGACCGTCAACACCGCACACAGGATAACAACAGTCTTGGCGGCCAGCAGGCCCCTCTGAAGGGAGGATTAGAAAGTTAACAGCCTGGAGCCCCTTCTCCAGAGACCCCCACCATCCTTTCTCGCCCACCCCCTTCCCCGCTACAGGCCGACTCTTCCATCTCTAGTACTCTCCCTCTGTTACCTCAGCTAGCAGAGGCTGGTAGACCAGCAAGCTTTCAACAGAAAGTGGTCATTGTTGTGAACGTTGTTGCTTAAGAATCATTGGTCAAATCAAATCGGCAGCAATGTTGCCCCAATTCTGCTCTGAATGTGTTCTGTTGATAAAATGGAAATGACAAGATTGATTTCTGAAAGCTAAAGAAATAACACAGTGTTATTTCTCCCTGCTGCTTCATTTAGAGGCTAAATGGTCAGAAAAATTGTGATTTTAATAAGCCAAAGGCCTCTACTGTGATTGTAAAACACCCACCCAAACCCTGAATGGTGCCTGTGTGTACTGGAAGAAGCCTTTTCTCATTTCACTGGGCATTTCACTGGGCATAACCCATCTTTAAATGATTGCATTTCTCAGGAATACAAAAACCGATACTTTGTTTCCCAGACATTAAAATAAAATTTTAAAAGTATTTTCAAGTGCTTATATAAGTGATAACACACACACACACACACACACACACACACACACACACACATTCTTATTCTGCTTTAACTTTTCAGAGAAGTATGAGGTCATTACCCATGTTACTGTCACCTTGTTGCCAGTTAAATTAGTTTAAATGGTCCTGGAGTTTCTCTCGGAGGCTTACTGATTAATATTATCAGTCTCTTCATTCAATGTTTTGGCTTTATTGGCTGTATTCATCTCATTATACAAACATCTTTCATGAGAATGAAATAAAATAACATAAATCTATGTACACCACTTACCCTAGTATACATAGTTCATAGTGTTCAATTATTGCCGATGATAACATTGACTATAATGTTGATAAAGATGATGGGGGAATGTGTGTTACTTAAAGTCATGTTTTATAGAGGGTTTTTAACGATATGAAAGAACACTCGTGAATATACTAGTATATGTTCATATATATGAATGCAAGTTATACATATGGCATATTATGAACAATATTGAGCAAAAAAAGACTTGAAGGAAATGAATTGAAACGTTAAGTGTCCACCTCTGAGTGATGCAATGATGGGTTATTTCCCCTTATTGTTTTGTGGAGACTCTTCTCTAATTTTCTATGATGGGCTTATCTTACATTATTATGAGAAAAAAAT